GGTAGCTTGGCGCTGGTCGAGACTCGGATCTTGATTCACTGCCTCGACGTCTTTTTATGATCCACTTCTGGATCCGCAGGTGCGTTACATTTTGCCCTGTGTTTCTATTCTTCCCAGTTCGCATTTCCGAATTCGTCATGTTCACAAAGTCTCCTGACTGGCCTGATCCGTTTGTGGTCTTGCTTAATGTCCTCACTACACCAAATTAGTCCATGGTACCAGTCTCTTTATGGGTGTATGCGTCATTCTCCTGAGTCGAACTATAGAGACTGACTTGAGATCCAAAGTCATCTTGCCCGTCATTGTCCTCTTCTTCTTCCTGGGTTACTGCTTCATCGCCTGTACCCGTTCCCATGGTAAATGGAAAGAAATTTGCGAAAGTGTTTTTCACTCTTTCTGAAAACGATGAGGACGTTGCCGTTTTCTCCGTCACGTCAAGCATCATGGTGTTTTCTCTGGGTGATCTTGTAGTCGCCACATTTTCAGTAGATTTTCAGTATCGATTATTAGTTGTAAGGTATGAAGCTAGGACAGTCTGATGATATCAATATATTTAAAAAATAGTGTTCTCACTACCAAATCAAGGACAGATATTATTGATTTCAAACCGAAAATGAAGAAAAATAAGGATATTTTCAATAACAAACCTATGTGTTTTGTACTTTAGTCAGTCGCAATGTAATAGTCGAACTTCTTTCGAAAGAAAGAATTTTCCCTGTACGGTGCTGCACTAAACAGACAAAACTTGAAGGCAGTAATTTTTTCAAGTGGGCGTCTATTGCACCCACCGAGTCCTGTGATACCTATCTGCCTTCGGATTGCCCGAGCTAGCCCTACTAAAATCCTCAGGGTAATCACTTTTCCCATAAACGATTTGGATTTCAATCCACACAAATCAGTTACAAACTCTTGTTCAATTTAGACTTAGTGTCGCGAATATCCGAGTTTAGACCTGTTTCGTTTGGTCTGGTCTTTTATGAAAGACAAGTTACCAGTGTAGTCTTTGGTTCCTAGCCTGTCTCTTAATAACCTAATACCTTTCACTATTTTCTTTCCATTTGTCTACTTAAGTCTTACAAAATAGTACACCCCCGGATTGGCAAAATTGTGACCCTTCCGGATTGGCAAAAATAGGACCCCTCCGGATTAGCGAATTTGGGACCCTTCCGGAGTGGCAAAATAAGGACCTTTTCGGATTGGCAAAATTAGGATCCTTCCGGATTGGCGAACTTGTGACCCTTCCGGATTGGTAAAATTTTGACCCTTCCGGATTGGCAAAAATAGGAACCCTCCGGATTGGCGAATTTGGGACCCTTCCGGATTGGCAAAATAAGGACCCTTTCAGATTGGCAAAATTAGGATCCTTCCGGATTGGCGAATTTGTGACCCCTCCGTATTGGTAAAATTGTGACCCTTCCGGATTGGCAAAAATAGGACCCCTCCGGATTGGCGAATTTGGGACCCTTCCGGATTGGCAAAATAAGGACTCTTTCGGATTGGCAAAAACAAGAACCCTCCAGATTGGCGAATTTGGAACCCTTCCGGATTGGTAAAATTATGACCCTTCCGTATTGGCCAAATTGGGACCCTTCCCGATTGGGACCCCTCCGGGTTTGTAAAAATAGCTTTTCAGAGACTTTTAAAATTTTCACACGATAACCTTCCGGATACGTTCTCCGATTCTATTATGCTGTTGAAACTAACTAGGAAGTGTGTATTTTTGGTCCCTAGACCCTTCCCGATTGAAGCTAAGCCTCTTAAGTGACAATTCAACTTAACTGTGAAGGGTCTTCTAACTATCCTAGCTTCGAATCGTCTATGGTTTAATGGTTTCCTTACCCTTCCCTTTGCTAAAAACTGTAACAGCGTAAAATTGCCTTATTCAACCGTTACTACCCTTTGGTAGGTGTGTAAGGGCTTTCCAAACAATTTTTTTATAAAACGTGAAGGATCTATCTTCCCGAATTAGTGAGTTTGCTGAAAACAATCTTAAAAAATTTTCACGCATATGTTTTTGAATAATTGATGTTTTTATGAGTAAGCTCACCTAATTTCTAATCTAATGGTACCAAGATCAACTGGATCTGTCCACTTGTTCCAAATTTATTAACCAAAATGTCTTTTTCTAAAATCAAAAAAAAATATCTCTCTTATAGGTTCCGCCTAACTTTTTTCGCAATTCTGTTTTTTCGACCTAAAAATTATTGATCTGAGCTCAGAAGGTCTATACTCTTCTAGTTCAATGCAAAGACTTGATCTAAAACGTTCCAGCTAAAAAAATTGCCAAAAACAAGGCTATTTGGACCCTTCCGGATTGATGAATCCACTAAATCACACACCTTAAGTTCGATTTCACTGTAACTCGGAAAATTATTGGCAAACGGGTTCTTAAACCTGTCGATTCACTAGTGAACGTTGTCCGAACAACAATTTTTACTGTTCTTACTCAAAAATTTCAAAAAATTTTCTTATTTTATAGCGTTTCGTTTTTTCAAAAATCAAGAAAATTCGGTTTTTGGTACCCAATTAGTTCCAACCACTTCTGAACTAAATTTCACCGGCTCTGCCTTTAATACTAGTACAGTTACGATGTAACTCACTAATTAAGTGCTTTTTTCCGTTTCAAAAAATATCGACATCTCAAAAATCGCGATTTGTGGTGGGGTCAAAGTATCGCTATTTCGACCCTAAATAGTGATACTAGTAATATAGGCTGTATAAATAGTAATACTAGTAATATTATACCCCTCCGGGTTTGTTCAATACCCGAATTTAAGGTGCTTAACTCGGAAATTCGCAGTTCGGTGAAGGGTCACTACAGTGCAGTCACTGTCGATCTCCCCACAGATCAATATCTTACTTTTGTACCAAAAGGGATACAAAACTTGTTAACGATACCCAACAGTCGATTGTTGTTGTCCCTGTGTCCCGTCTTGTCGCTCCTCGCACTGCTTGCCGGATCAGTCTTCTCTCCTAATCCCGAGACCCTTTCGGATTGAGCGCAAATTAGCATTAACGCGCTTAAATACTCAAATGTCCCTACAGTACAAGCACCACAAACGGGCCACAAATTTGATCGTAAAGATCCTGACTGATATAAAAGCCTGTAACAACAACATATCTAACAACAAAAATTGGGAGGGTCGGATCACATCTCGTCTGGGGTGATGATTTCTACTGATTTTATACTTTTTAGTGTTTTTGGTTTTTTAGTGTTTTCGGTGGTCGTTAACGGTTCTGCCGGTCATGATGTTAAAAATAATAACACCCAGGAGCGCCATAAAAACATCTATGTAGCATTCGCCCGGAAGTACATATCGACGGAAAATAAAGCTAGGATCTAAAACAACTGGCTAGCGTCTAAAAACAGCTCTACGTGCTTTTCACCGTCTCTGCCAAAGCCGGCTTTTTTGGTGGTCTTTGTAAAATCGGATCGGCAAAAAAACGTTACTGTTTCCGGCTTCGATCAGCACGCTCTAATTAACTTAGTTATTTGCAGAAAAAGTGAGCTCATGGCTGGGTCTCAGTATTCTCAGACCACGAGTTCACCCCTAAAACACGGCTACTACTTATATATTATATTACTAATGTTTTTGTTCAGTAGATAAAAATCATCATCTCCATCGAAGATGGATCAACTCTTTTCCCCAACTCCTAGTTTCTCATTATCTGAAAACGAATTTGGTATTAATTAAATTCAAATCAAGACATTCCGGGAAGCTAAAAGTTTGTTTAATACAATTCAAATTCCAATCACGAGACCCTTACTGATTCTGGAAACCGGAGAAATAACACTCTCATTTCTTCTCGGAAGGCTGGACACGTCGTCCCAACACCCTTCTTGGTTCTTGTGAACTGCTCGGTAACAATTTTAGCGGCACAATCGTTACAACTCGGAGTGGTTTCCGACAATTTGTAAGCACAATTTCAATCTTCTACCATTTCGTCGTTGCTGTCACTGAGAATACTGTTGTTCTCTACGAATTCTGTTATTGTGTTTTCGCCGTTTCAGTGTGTGCAAAAAATGAAAGGTTACGTGTCTTTCATGTCCAAATCGAAATTTCAAAATTTAGCATGTCAGTCAAAACTAACCCTTCCCGATTTGTCTGATCGTTTAAATAACGTCACTAATTCATCAAAACCATCAATCTTCCAAGTTAGATGTTCCAATAAAAATTCGAATGCGAAATTGCATTTTGATCATTCTGGTCGAATGTCACATAGTTAGCATGTGTGACATTCGACCAGAATGGATCAAAATGCAGATTCAGCAGATTCGAAAATTTAGCAGCGAACCTTCCGAAATGACGGTTTTAAGCGATTAACGACGTTATTGGGACGATTAGTCAAACGGTGAAGGTCAAGATATTCTGGTATTTTTAAATTTTAAAAGTTCGAAGTATGACGTCATATTTCTGAGAAACGTCAGAAACGGCCATTTTGGCAGAAAAGTCGAAGAAAAACACACGACAACGACGACAACAACGAGAAAATTGAGAATCAGAATCGGAGAAAAGCAGAAGTACCAGAGACCGCTCCGAGTTGCAACTATTGTGTCGCTACAATAGTTGGAAGGCCGTTGCGAACAACGGTGAAGGGTGGAAAACCAGCCTTCCGGAAGGAGAATAAGAGCCTTATTTCCTCGGATTCAAGAATCCGGAGGGGTCTCGGGACTGGAACTGATAGTGTTTTATATAAATTTTTAGCTTCCCTGTCATGTCCTGAGTTGAATTTAATTAACATCTGAATTCATTCTACCAAGATGAGAAGCTAGGAGTTGGGGGAAAGGGTTGATCCATCTTCGATGGAGATGATGATTTTTATCTACTGAACAAAAACAATAATAATTCAATAAGTAGTAGTAGCCCTGTTTTTAGGAGTGACCTCGTGGTCTGGGGATACTGAGACCCAGCCATGAGCTCACTATTTCTGCATGTAATTAAGTTAATTTGAGTGTTTTGACCGAAGCCGAAAGCAGTAACGTTTTTTGTCGACCCGATATTCGAAAGACCACCGAAAGTACTGGCTTGGTAGAGACGGTTAAAAACATGTAAAGCTCTGTTTAGACGTTAGCCAGTCGTCTTAGGACTTAGTTTTATTTTCCGTCGATATGTATCTTCCGGGCGAATGTTACAATGGTGCTATATTAGAGCAGATATGGTAAACTTGAATTCCATTAAACGTCTAAATAGCTATTATTCTTGAAATCCATTTTTAAAAATCTGTTCTCGTTTGTTGAAACTGACAGTAGAGAAAAACAAATTAGGATGGGGATCAAAATTTTTCTTTCAAAAAGGTGATGGTTTTTCTGGAGCATGCCGAGACCAGAGGAAGACAGCTGACGGCTCCTACATTGACCCCACAGAACAACCAAACGAGAGGGAGGCGGCTGGCGGCTCGTACATTGACGCCGCAGAATGAACAGACCACAGGGAGACGACTGAAAGCTCCTATATTGACCCCCCGAGAATTACCAGACCAGAGGGAGACGGCTGACGGCTCGTATATTGACGCCACAGAGCGACCAGACCACAGGGAGACGGCTGATGGCTTCTACATTGTTTCCACGGAAATACCAGACCAGAGGGAGACGGCTGACGGCTCGTAAATTGACGCCACAGAACGACCAGACCACAGGGAGATGGCTGACGGCTCCTGCATTAACCCCACAGAATTACCAGACCAGAGGGAGACGGCTGACGGCTCGTACATTGACGCCACAGATTGAACAGACCGCAGGGAGACGGCTGACGATGACTTATAGACGACATACTCTGCTCCACCACATTTCTTTTAAAACTGAAAACTCAATTTAATCATTTGTTTTTGTAAGTTGTTCACTTTACCATTCGTCTTCATCTCATAGTGAAGTAATATCAGTAGAAAACAAGTTTGAATTGTCGGCGAACAAACGACAACTGGAAAATTCTCGACACTCTGGCAGATCATTGAAAAAAAAGAAGCGACCCCCAAGATGCTGCCTTGAGGAACGCCACTAGTAACAGAACGTGGATTGGAAATGTGCGCGTTTTATACGAAGACACTGTGATCGGTTACAGAGATACGACAAAAAAGTAACAAGAAATCATGATCGAAACCATACTTTGATAGCTTGTTTCGAATGGTATCATGACGAACAGAATCAAAGGCTTTACCAAAGTCAAAATAAACAGCAGCAAAAGGAACGTTGAAATCACTAGTGTGGTGCACTTCATCAAGATATGATAACAACTGTGTTACAGTTGATCGTTGTTCTCTGAAACCATGCTGAGAGTTCGACAAATGTTTTCGAATCTTTGAATATATATGATTGAAGAGAACTTTCTCAAAACATAAACCAAAAGGGTGTAAGATACTGATAGGTCTGTATTTTGTAATATCATTAGGAGACGCAGACTTCAGAAATGGAGTAACAAAAGGACATTTCCAGGCAGCAGGTTATCCTTATTGGTTATCCTTGTTGGTTATCCTCATCTTGATGGCGCGGCGTAACGGTAAAAAAAGGAAATTTGACAGGACACAAAGGGACTGAACTAACCCATAATAACGGCTGGAATTTATAGATGAAGAAGAAATTAATACAAATTTAATTTGAAGAAAAATATAATAAAATCTATAAAACTTGCTGAAAAGGACAACCTCACCCGGGCTCACCGCCAGACCTCCTTCCCCCAGATTTGAGACCTACTTGACAGACCTGTCTCTAAAATCCCTCAAAGAGCGCTCGATCGTTTTAATAAGTTTATCACAAGAATTAGGCTAAATTAGCCCATCAAACTTACCCAACAAAAAAAATTTTGAAAATATTTTTAGATTGTTCTTATGGCTTCTAAATTTTGTTGCCGAATCTGTACTGAGAAGCCAAACCTTCAAATTTTTTCTAATTGGTATTCTTTAGAGTCTCATATTTATCAACTGCACTTTGGTAACGTGTTTCCATTTCAATGCGACGAATGTCGAGCTGTTTTTCAAGCAGAATATAATCTTCGCCGTCATCGCGAGAGATCTCATCTGCGTATTGGCAATAATTGTCCCGACGAATGTCTTGTTATCAAAAATTGTCCTGTCGATAATTGCCAGCATCAGCAAATTCTGGCATATGAAGAACTACGCAACCATTTACAGTCCGATCATTCAGATTTATTTAAGCTAGACAAATATACCCGACAAAATTTGAGAAAAGTAACTTTTTCCAAAGTATCAACTCCTAAAATGAAGAAACTCGATAACAGTAACTCGAAGTTTTCTTGCCCATACAAGCGATGTGGTGCATGGTATTCATCTAAGAAGTTATTCAACAAGCATCTGAGAGACCACGATTTATTTTTATCCTTGAAATGTCCTCGTTGTCAAAAGAGATTAGAGGGTGTTCAGGCTGAATCTGAGCCTTCTTTATCAGAGAAAACAAGCCATTGCGACTGTTACAAAACACATCCATATACATGTCCAGAAGAAAACTGTTTAAAAGTGTTTCCTAGTCGGTTCAACTTGAAAACTCACTTTCAGTTGGTGCATTCTGGTGCGACTAAATATCAATGCGATTTTTGTGACGATGTTTTCAAATCTCAGAGAAGCCTCTGTGAACATATTCAAGTGCATTTTCATCCCCGATCTTTTCACTGCAATCTATGCGGTGAGTTTTTTAATCAGAAGACTGCATTGGTCAGACACGTGACCACTCTTCACGAAGGAAGACGAGCTCACTTCTGTTGTGTATGTGGTCGAAGTTTCTCTCAAAGTGGAAATTTAGTTACACACTTAAATAACGTCCACAAATTGAAATGTGAAAAATGTTTTGGTCAGTTTCAAGCTGACAATAAACAACAACTAGAGGATCACGTAACCAGTTGCAATGGGCACATTATCTATTTAATGGACAATGATAACTGTGATTTGGAACAAGAAGTAACCGTCATTGGATCATAGTTAACATGGTGCTATATTAGATCAGATATGGTAAACTTGAATTCCATTAAACATCTATATACCTATTACCTTTGAAATCCATTTTTAAAAATCTGTTCTCAATTTTTGAAACTGACAGCAGTAGAGAAAAACAAATTAGGATGGGGTTCAAAATTTTTAATTTTTCTTTCAAAACGGCGATGTTTTTCGATTGTTTTCCTGGAGTATGCCGAGCTTTGTCTGAGCTGCAAAAGTCACTTAAGGTAGAGCAGACACTCATTAGGTCGCGCGTTTCTCAAGCTGTTCGTCGAAGCGCTGCGAAAATAATGCTCGCAAAAAGTAAAGTGAAAATCGAGCAAAAAAAAGTTTTTTAATCAGTTTTGAAAGCCGATTACATTTATAGAATGAACAGTAGAAAAGTGATTTTGTGAAACATGCTTAATATTTTTTTTCACTGTGGATTTAGTTGCAAAAATTGATTCCGCTGTGCTGTGTTACAAAAGTGAATACTTTTTTTTCAGATTGCATCAGAGTTATTCTGATCGTCGTTTGAGAGAATGAAGAAGCAGCAGCGCAGGAGATGCCGAGTGTGTAGAGAGAGTGAGAGCAAATACAAATGTCCCTCCTGCCTCGCTCCTTATTGCAGTCTCAAGTGCTGCCAGCAACACAAATCTCAATGTAATCCACCACCCCCACAGGTTATAACCAATAACAGCAGGCATCACGAAACTAGTTGGTCCTAATTGTAACCTTCGCTAACGCTACTTAGTTACTGAATTATTATCCCGGCAACATCTGGGTGTGACGATTGTGAAAGGAAAAATGAATAACAAATTGAAAAGTACTTTTATTCGGTCAATTTTAATGAACAAAAACTCAGCTCAATTTTTAATCGGTTCGATCTTTTCCTTGGTTTGATCTCATTGAATTACACATATTGATTTCTTTAAAGGATTTTTAAAAGTTAAATCTTTTTGAAATATCTAATTTTATTGGTTTTCAAAATACCATTGTTATTATTCTCTGGCTCGCGAGAAGTTAGTTGTCTCGCAACAATAAAATAATCATTTTTTAAAATTCTTCGGATTTTTTTTCTAAGTTAGCTGGATTGTTTACGTTTACGGGTTTTCTACTCCCAGTGCTGTACGATCTTCGTATATTTGATAAAGAAACTCGGCTTTGGCTTTATTTTATAAAAAAAGATCAGAAAACAATGGATTTTAGATTTAACGTTTCATCAATCGCTCTCTGAGAAGTAATTTAATGCATAGCAGCCATGTTGGTTCCAGACAATGTAATTGTTGCTTATGTAATTTTCTTGGAATGATTTTTCTGCTGATTTTTTTTAGATAAAAAGTTTGCGATTCGCTATTTTTTGTTTTGTTTCTGCAAGTAGTGTTTTATTCGTAGTGTTTTATTACAAATCCACTTTTTTCAATATATCGAAAGGAAAGTGCTCAAGCAGTGACACTTCTGCTGCATAGCATTGGCAATTAATTAGGATCTGATTTATTGGTGGCTTGTGTTTGTAGATTGACAAATGGTCGTGGTGCAGATGCGAGGAAGTAACACACTTAATGTCCAGCTCGGGTTTCGGTTCTGGCACAAAACAAAAAGTTATATTTTCCTTGACGATAAGCGAAGATTAACAATCGGGTGTTAGACTTTTTTTCCCGTAAACAGCGTTGTTGCAGGACTCATGCATCTTGAAATTCAAATAAAACTATTAGCAACGGGCAACAAAGTGGAAACACAGCTGACAATCTTTGAGCAGACACCAGTTGATCCGAATTTTTTTTCATATAACTCCCCTGAAATTGCAGTGACCAACACTTGCAATTACCGTGGTACTTGCTTGCTGCACAAAAAAGTTTTTGATATGGAAATTGATATGGAACCAAAGCCGAAAAAACTTGAGCAGACAAACGGAAGTCCAAAAATTAATTTTTTACCGGAAAAAAGTCAATTTCATGTAAACTCCAAAAAAAAAAACGCGAAGCCCAGACCTAAAAATTCAAAAGCAGCCGCGTTTTCTCCAGGCCAAGTGGGAAGGAACCTGAAGTTGTTAGGGCTCAATATTAAAACCAGTTCAATTTCTTGTTTACCCTTGCGATAAGGAAGGGTATCGCAATCGGGTACTAGACTTTTCCCCGTCAAGAACTTTGTTCACAGGGTGATCTCCAATTTCAAGATCTCCATTTTGATCGCGTTGTACGTTTAACATTTCGAGTTACACTAGGTTCTAAAGTTCATGCGTGACTGGATCTACTGGTAAAAAAAATTCTGATGAAAATTTTTTTTTGCAGGCCTAATTGATTTCAGCCCAATTTTTGTCGGCTTATTCACCGTTTTTTTATAGAATAATCTATTCAAATTATTGTTTAGTTCAATTCAAAGAACGTAACAGGCTGAAAGGTTTTCATCCACGGTTCTGAACACGCTTTTTTACAGGCTGAAATTTTCAGTTTCAAAGGGATAAACTGTAGTGATTTTTTGTTTGATTTTTTTTTCCATTTATTTATTTCTATTCTTGAGATAGGCAAGGGTATTGCAAATGGGTATAGACTTTTTTCCCGTTAACAACTTTGCGCACAGAATGATCAGTTTTAGTAGGAATGCTAAGTATCACTTCTGACATGCTCAAATACTTCAAATTCAAATGAAACTAATTAATTGGTAATTAGGTAAAGACTGTTTTACGTTAAATTTAATTTTTCAACAAAGTTTCTCATTTTTTTGGGTTCGTGGTTTTCGTCCTAGTTTTTGTCGCGGTTCTTTTTCCGTTTTTTCTAAACACCATTTTTTATCTGGTAAGGTTTTTATTGACTTAATTTCTAAAGCATGAGTTTTGTTCCAATTTAAACAGTTTTTACTATTATTGAAAGTTTAGTAATTTGTGAATTTCCCAAGTCTGATTTTGCATAATTTTTTGTTTCATTTTAAAAAGTATTTAAATTAGTTTATGCAATTTCGGGTTAGTGAACTTACATTGCGTAATTTCGAAAGATAATTATATTCGTTTAGGAAATTGTGTTTCAGTCTGGATGGGGCGTACTAACATTCGAAACTTCATGAAATTTTTTGACAACAGTTTTGTTTTCGGCTCAACGAACGTTGAGTTTTTGCAGCTGTAGTTTTTTTTTGAATTTTTTCACGTTATTTCTTAAGTTTTTTTTCAACTTGATTTTTCAGAAGGTTTATTTGACCTTTTTTTCCATGCAGGAAGGTCTTGTAGCTCAAAAAGTTTTTGTATCGAAAGTGTTGCGAAGATTCCTTTCGCCTCTGTGTTTTACATCTTCTTTCTTTATTTCACTTTTTTCCTTTTAAGAGCTACTTTTAGCCGTTTTATCGCTTGAGTTTGCGAAGTGCTTCGTCTCTGTAATTAGTTTATGGTTGTGAGGGCCGATAAAAAGACCCAGTCTCAAATCTATTCAATAATTTGTAACGATTTGCTAAGATGTTTTCCTACTCATCTGTTGATTGTGTTTCAATCGTGCTGTATGTTTTTTGTAGGAAACAGACGGAGGAGTTGAGGTGAAGGTTGAAGCAGTCAAAGTGCCATTACCTCCCCGAATTGCGCTGGATGGGGAGGAGGGAGAGGGAGAAATAGATCCAGACTCGCCGGATTTCGTAGCTCTGGATAAGTTGAGACGACTGGAGCACAATACAACTGTGAGGGAATTACTGGGCTGCAAGGAACTGAAGGAGATGATTGAGAGATGCAACAGGGCAGATGACAAGAATGAGGAAATAAGCAGTCTAATGAAGAGTGATCTGTTCGTACAATTTGCCAATGCATGTTTGGAAACAGTCGAAGGAGACGACTGTATCAGTAGCTGCTAGTTGAACTTAAAATGTTCAACTCTAGTTTTTCCTTTGTTCTAGCTTTCGATTGTCACACTAATCGACGTTGGCTGTAGGGAACTCAGAAAGCTCAGCACAAAATGATTCAGAAAGCAGAAGAATAGCAGATTATGGCTGAGCCAAAGTGAAAAAAAAAACAGACCTATGAACTCAACCTGTATGGCCTGGGTTAAGCTGACAAACATTTCTTTAGTGAGCTTTGAAAAATTGTCTTTTTCGGAACATTGATAAAAAATGCGCATTGAATTAAAATTTTCATTGGAAACCATTCGAAGTAAATGAGCGAAGTGATTTAGTGATAATGGACGAAGACTCAGGTTTTTAGTAATGTTAAATTTGAGGAAGAGGACACGTAGTTTTTTGCTATTTTTTTGAAAGATTCCTGGTAATATTTTCAACAGACTTACTCTGAATGTTTCAAGACTATCTTTGGACACCAGTATTTACACTTGCGAGAGTTAGTGTTTGTCATTACACTAACAAAGCTTGTGTTATAGTATGAACTCTTTTCCAACCTAAGTCGCAAATATTGCTGCGATGCAATTGTTGCGACAAAATGTGTTCATTTTGATCAAAAACCAGCTATTAAGTACAGCCAATGCTAAGGATATTAACACTGACTATTATATTACAAATAGCACTTTGGCTTCAAGGTATCATATATCTGTAGCATAGAGGTAGGGAAGGAAACCATCATCAAAATAAGAGGGTCGAACCTGGGCAGGGTGGGATGTTTTTGATGCATTTTTTTCGTATACTAGTTCAATTGCGTCCGCTCTATAAATTGAGGCATGTAAGTTGGTGAATTTTTTTGACTGGTTTTGCTAATGCGGTATAATTGGCTTGCGTCACGTAGCAATTATGTAGACTCCTGATTGGCGTGCGTCACTTAAGAAATTTAATAGACTCAAGTTTTACTCATTCAGTTTTTCCCAGTATCGTTGTCGGTCATATTTTTGCTTGTGTATGCGAAGTGCAACTTCGCCTCTGTGTGGGGAATATACTTTTTTCCAGCTCACAAATTTTCCTGCGGATCTGTTAGAAGTTGTGGCTTGTAAGAAAAGAAGTGATTCAACTGCTGAAATGCTTAATTTGATCATTAATTTGAAAATTAATTTACCGTGTGGTTTATAATTACTTTTGCGATGGCAAGTGTGTTACAACCGGGCACTCGACTTTTTCTACAGTAATTAACTTAAGTCACAGGACTCATCTCCTGAACTATGTTTGAAATACTGCAACAGGTAATTTTTGAACATGATAGCATTTCAAATATCCGTTCTATTCGAAAGGAAACTATTTTTTTTACCAACACGATTTATTGAGCTTGCTATTAGCAAGCGTTATCAAACCGGAATTTACTTTTCGGGTTCACAACTCGTTTAAAAGAACCATTGTATCTTGGTTTGTAATGAATTCAAACTTCTATGCTTATCCTGAACTTAGCATGGAGGTGAAGAATACGCCTGGGACGGCAAAGGACGTGAGTTCGAATCTGACCAGGAACTTTCTTTCAAACTAGAATTGTTAGTTTCCTAAAAATGGCGGCCTATAATTTGTCTGCTGATGTTTTTTCGGCTTAGTTGCCATATCGTAGAATTTATGTTTTGTTCGTTATTTTTAAGGTAGTTGCGTTCAGTGTTTTGAATTACTTCTGCAATTTTTAATTTTGCTATCCTCGACTTCGTATATTTTGCTGTTTTTTTCGCTTAAAAAGTTTATTCACCTAATATTTCATCGGATCAGTGATCTAGTCTGGAGTCATTTCAAAGGAAGCATAAGTTTTATGCTTCATTACCGATTGCATAAATTGCTAAAATTCTTAGAATAGAATTTGTAGCTCAAAATTTTTAATGATAACTAATTTAAGTTTCTTCGTCTCAGTTACCGTTTTTTTATTTCTCCTTTATTCCTGTGGGTTGTGTTTCGGGACATCTTTTCCCCAAATATAACATGGTTCCAGACAACATATTGACTTTCTTAAGCTGTGGTTTTTTGAAGTGTTTTTTTTCTTTTTTTAGACTTAGTGGCTTTTTTCCTGTCTGCTACATTTAGCTGCCATTTCTGTTGTAGCTCAAGTGTTGCGAAGCTCCGCGTCGCCTCTGTGTTAAATATCTTTTTTTTTGTCTGTTTCTGCTAATATGTTCGGCTTATATTATATTGTCAATTTGGCCTCATATTGCATCGCTTGATGACCGAAAATGACCGTTTCTGTGTGCGTGTGTTATGAGGGTGAGGGTGACTTAAAAACTGTTTGTTAGTTTTAAAGTCTTTGAGTTTTTGGCTCCAACGGTTTCTGCTTAGGTTTTTTCGGCTTTTAGCGGAACTTCTCCCGATGATAGTATTAGATAATCATCGGAAGATGCATGTTTTTTTTCAAAAAAATGGCTTTTTTCGTTCTTATCTAGATTTGTTGGTTTTTCAAATGTATGATTTTTTTCGGCTGGATTGTTTTCGGTGCAATTGATGCAAAACTCCGCTTTGCCTCTGCGTATTGATGTTGACGTAATCTTAACTAAGGTTATACCAACTTGGTCTCGGTTTACATATTTAAGTTTTTTCCTTGTTGTTTTCCATCGGTTTAGTTGCCTCATGCTGTGTCATTGAAAAGGAAATGAAATTTTTGCGTGCGTGTGCGGTTACAGTCGATTATCGAGAGCCCAAATTTTAAAACAAAAATAGATTTCAACCTGTTTTTAAGAAAAGATTTTTCCGTCCGCTGTTTTTGATTGGCTCAATTTAGCTCGGAGATAGTACCTGTGGCATCTTCTTTTTTTATATGAAATGATATTCAAGCATTTTTTTCAAGCAAATGAAATTTTCTGTATAACCTCGCTCGAGGAAGCTTCTCCGTTTTAAATAGAAAATTAAATAAGATAAATTCCAGTTCACTTGTGTCCATCAAAAATCATTTTCCGAAAACTTAAATTCAACCTCGCAAAACCCCTCGCCCTACCCGGAAAAACGGACGGAAAAATAATTCGAATTATTTCAATAACTTTTGATGGACGTTTGAGATATATTTTTCGCGACATTTTTTTTTAGAAATGTATATTGAAAAAGGGTTTAAGCGAGAATGTCATTGCCGTGTCCTGGAGTGAATGTTGTCTACTTGGATCTTCTTGTGCTTCAGAGTATTGACAATGGACAGTCCTCTTTCGTCTGTGAGACTCGTCGGAGGGGGAGGAAAAGGCGAGAAGCGAAAACTTTGTGGTGACCTGGATGACGATGAAAACTTCAACCTTTCATTTGCATCCCCAGGACCCCACTTTGCTCCTGAAGTTGACAGTGACTCCAAAATGAGCAGTCTGGTCTCTTTCATCAACCGAGAACTCACTTCTTTGGGGCTGAAATGTCTGCAGTTAGAAGAAGACATCTCAACTTCAACAAAATCATACAATTCGTCATCATCACATAACCAACAAGTGACCAAGTTGTCTCTGGCTTTAGCCTGCGTCGAAGCACTAAACCGAGTGGGTGCATGCAATAAGCGCAATGAGGAACTACAGCTGGCATACAAACGCCTATGCGGTGATAATAACACACAGAATACACAAATCAAGAGGCTTAAGAGTCAGGTGGAGTCGCTGGAACGAGAAGTTGCCAAATTTAAAGAGAGCGATCGTCAGAAGAAGAAAGACTCGAGCACAAGTCTGCGGAAACTGAATATTGAGAAGCAGAACAACAAGAAAAGTATGGCTATGATGCAGCAGAAGGTCACCCAACTGGAACACAGTTTGAAGCGGAAGGAGAAGGAAGCGCAGGTGCTGCGGGAGAAACTGGACACCATTTTGGGGGGTTCCAAAGGGAGTAAAAGTGGGACTAGTCAATCTGCATCTGGAAGTGTGTCGGGTCAATCTCAGAGGTCTAATGTGATGAGCTCCTCGTCGTCTTCTAGTGCAGTGCAGCCAGCCTCCATTGAGATCCTGAATGACCTGAAGCCCAAGAGAGCCAAGTGGATGGTGGCTCCTAGATGTAGCTGTGATGAGAGTGAGAAGCAGGAATTCATGAAGTCGCTCATCAGTAATCTGGAGCGCAAGCAGAGTGTGTTAGTAAGTGAAAATGCTGAACTAAGGAATCTAATCTGGAAAATTGAAGCCAAGATCAATGACAGCAGTGAGATATCTGGACTCGACAACGAAAGATTGGATAGTAAAAGAGGAAGCCAAGAGTCAGTGAACAGCTGTGGTATAAAAGAAGAAATTGAAGACGAAAGTTCAAAAGGTTTGGGGTCAGACTCGGACAAAGCATTGATGATGTTGCCGATTGAGTTGATTGCAGAGAGATTATACAATGGGATGATGGACAGGATAGATCAGCTGCTGCTTCTGAAGAGAAACGAGCAGAGAGGAGTTTACTCTCTGCAAAGCAGCATGTCCTCCAGTCTAACTGAGCTAGACCAACAAAGTACCGCTGTAGATATACCTGGTAGTAACAGAAGCAACTCTAAAATGACCCTGACTCATTACAGAGAGAGTTTACTTACTGATGACGAAGATGGAAATTAAACATAATCAAACTAATTTTTTGACGCATTTTTGAACTTGACTTGTGTTGTTTCTCTTGATAATTCTAAAATTTTGAACAGATTCAAAATTATCATTTGTAAATATTTTGTGTTGCTGGTCTTGTGAATTTATTTCTTAACTGTGTTTATCGGTCGATGCCAGGCTTGACTAGATTTTTTCTCGAATATTATTAATCTATTTATTTTCTCGAATTAATAATTTTTATTAATCGTAGATGGTGAAAGCTGCCTAAAGATGCCTCAAGGAGTGTGAGACCCTAGATTTACACTTGCGAGCGTAGTGGTTATACGCACGTCTCAATTTTTTTGCAATCTAACTGGCAAATAAAAGAAAGAAAGAAAGAATTAATTTCTCAATGTTACTAGAAAATTCATATCATATTGCGCATAAATACATCAGTATCAAAGAGGGGACAGCTAACGATCCCATAAGGGATACTAAATGCTGCCCCAAAAAATATTAGAAACATGAATGATGTAGTTAGTTGGGTTTCAAATTATTATGAAATCTAGTGCATAAATTCTACATATTTGCAAAAATAGAACGAACAAAAAAATGTGAAATATAAAATCATACATTAGAGGGTCTAAAGGCCTACTCAGAAATGGCATGATTTATCTCCGTTTTAAGTAACACACAACATAACTTAGTTTATTTAAAAACAGTTGCAAATGTTAATGAACTGATTATAATATTTACCTAAAAAAATACAAGTTTTTTCCTTTCATTTTAAGCCTTGGGCATGAATATGAAATTTCTAAGTGATTTTTAGGAAAAACGAAAAAATTGGGCATAGGTTCCCTCTCAAGCGGGCCATTTCGGCCCATTTTGGAAAAAATTTATGTTTTTTTTTTAAATTCTTAATGGATGCGCCACTTTTCCGAGACTTTCATTCAGTAATCTAAACTCACAAAGAGTCCGTCGTACTAGGTTTTCCGGGGATTACGTCAAAAAAAATCTCGGGTCCGTGGAGCAGCCATGGTATGTTAATAATTCCTATTATTAAATCTATTTTCCATCTCATTCCATCTCAAAGGGCTCATTTGGTGGAAGTTTTGCTATAATCACGATCTGTGGCAGTCGAAGTTTCATAGCATCTGCTGTATGTTTTCTTTGTGGCTAGTGTTTGCCGGTCGTTAAGCGACCGATATTGCAGGTTTGAATCCGACTCATAGCAGAGGTTTTACTAATTCGAGGCTTCTAATTTTTTATTTCATTTTTAAAGCTGCTTTTTCAAGTTTTCTCGCTAGAGTTTGCAAAAATTTATTTTGAAAGTTTATCAAAAATCCGAGTTGGTAAATTCACGAAATCATAGGACGGCTGACAATTAAACAAGAAAAATTGTTTAAATCAGAAAAAGAAATTGAGCTGAAAAAATGAGCAGACAAACGAAAGTCCGACAATTGATTTTTTCCTGAAAAAATTTCATACATACATAAGGTCCAACCAAGACTCAACATCAGACCATAGGGTTTATAGGCAACCGCGTTACCTCTACATCAAGTGGAAAGGAACCTGGAAGTTGTTAAGGTCCAATAAATCAATTTAATTTTACATATTTTAAAGAAAAATTAATGACGGGAAATAGTCTAGTTACCAATAGAAATAGTCTCTCGCAAGCGTTACTATGAAAATAGACGAGCAATTTTTTTAAAGGCAATGTTTTTAGAGTCAGTTCGAGTTCTCCAGAGACTTTAAGAAAGGAAAAAACTTTTAATGATAAAAAAAATCGGGATGCAAAATTGTCCAAAATTGTTTAAATGAAAACTTTCCAAAAATGTCGGTTATCGTTTACAGCGATGTAAATTGTCCTAAATGGCTGCTCAATTGGCTGGAATTTATGAATTCACACAACCTGATCCTTAAATTCCTCTCGTAGTCAAAGGGTGCACATTTAAAATCCAGTTAATCGATACAGTTTTATCTATCTAGTAAGTTTATCTTAACAACTACAGACACGGCACACAGAAGTTGCAACTTTTTAATTTGGATCAGCCTATGAATCAGTTTTTCTTCGCTTTTTGTCATTTTCTAAGCAACTATTTTTGAAAAAGGTTTGAAATTTTGCCAAATGGTAGTTCAAAACATTGGGAAGGTTATAGCCGGGCCAAATCGTTTGGAAGGTGTAAATTAGCCAGTATAAGATAACTAGACTTAGATTTGAGCCCATAAAATTAAATTCCTTATATTGTTTGAGAGGATGTTAGATGATACATAGATCGTTATCTGCAAAAGCAATAAAAATTACTCCTCTGATCCATGCACAGGATTCTCACCATTAGGTTGTCTCAAAATTTTGTTCAATTTTCTGGTATAAGCTGCCAAGAACTTTTAATGTCTATGGCTTCAAAACAGACTTGAAAATTAAGTAACTATTAAGTAATTATGCCGGATCAAGTTACTCATTCATTTTCTTGTCTTTCGTTTCTCGATGACATAAAGAGAAAGTCATGAGCTCATCAGCTATTTGAGCCCATAAGTTCAAACTCTTTTTATTGTTATTCTAAAACCCTCTAAAACTAGTTATTTTATACTAGTTAATTTACACCTTGGAAACAATATTTCTCAATGTTTGGTACGGCAAAATCCTTTCAAATAGTTCCATCGAGCATTTGTGAAAATTTCAACCCTGTATTTTAAGCAGCAGTTGCAAAGAAAATGACAAAAAAGTGAAGAACAAATTCCTTCATATGCTGGTCCAATTCAAACAAGTGCAAATTCTATGTCCCGTGACTGTGACTATAGGCTAATTTGCGCGTTCTTAAAAGTTTTAGCCTTGTACCTTTTCTTGTTGAACCTTGTTTGTGTCAAAAAAATTGATGATCATAGGAGGTAAGTGAGTGAGAAAGAAAAAAACCGTGCATTGTAACAGTTAAAGGGGCACTATTAAAACTTACCTTGTTTCCGTTAAAATCTTACTCAACAGAATAGTCAAATTTTGCAGTATGGAACTTTCACATTTAATTTCTTTAATCAAAACCGTTGCGAAACTCAAGTTTCAGAGGAGGTACCGTACTTGACTAGTCCCTTAATTCATAGTTCGAGTACCACCTGGATCTTTTTTTAAAAGCTCTTCACTCTTTTCGATGCAATAGTTCTCGCCGTAAATTCTGTAGGCTTTGTTTCCGATTGTGTCTTCAAGTGCTTGATCTGAGACGACTGCGAAACATATTTACAAAAATACTGTTGGAAATCATAGAAATTTTGACTTCACTCAATTTAATGACTAAGAAAAGTCATTTATTTTAAAGAAGTAACTCAATTTAATGATAGTTGTGTTTAGAGCTGAATTATTTCTTTTGAGTACAGTCAAAATTTCTATTGCAATAATCAAGTAGTATCCAATCGTATTCTACGCTTTTCTTTAAGCACCAAATGTAACTGTTTCATTAACCTGATGCAGAAGTGGCAGTAAAACCGCTGGTACTGAGAAGGATGGATGCCTGGCACAGATATTTTCCCAAAAACGTTTTTTCTATTTCTGACACAACGTTTAGCACAATTAAAAGCCGTTAACGTTTCGAAAAGTATATTCTCAGAACAAGGTTGCGTTTATTCAGAAATTTACTCCTACCGGAAAAAATCGCACTGTGTAAAGCTGCTTCTATTTTTAATGAGCAAGTGTCTTATAATCGGGAACTAGACCTATTTTTTACCCGCAAACAACTTTTATTACACAGGCGAAGCACCACTTGCAATATCAAACGAAAAAACTGGCTCGAACGAAATAGGAAACAAGTAAATGTATTATTTGGAAATCATCGGCTGTAAACCGAGATATTTTTGCAATTCTTTTAGAACTGAATTTTCAAAAAAATAAAGCATTCATGCTGCACAAACTCCATTCAGTTTTTCTGATGACTATAAGATAAAAAGCATTCAAAAAAGAAAGGTTTTGTTTTAACAATCATGATCCATAATTTCCGAAAATTACCAAGAAACATCACTGAAAGTCTTGGAAACAAAAAATTGCATGTCAATCAAGAAGATCCAGATGTATCAAAAAGTACTTCCGATTGCTTGCTAAAAGCATTGATCAAATGAACAAAACAAAATATGAAGCTATTTAGCAATGGTAAGGTAGCCCGACAACAGCAAAAACAGTCACAAATTAAAATAAAGACCCCCGTTAGTGAAAAAAAAATACAAAATTTCATAATTCTTAAAACAACTTTTTACCAGAAAAAAAAATCACATTCATAAATACCATGCAACAGCTAAATACCTAAACAAGACATTCAAGACAAAAATTAAAAATCGAGTTTTCTTGAAATTTTTTATAGAAATTTTGATTTAGAAAATTTTTAGACATTTAAACAATACGCTGTGCCATCAACTTGAAAGGATTTAAAATGAAAATACTCCAAAATTTGGACACTAAATTGTGTTAAGCTAACTGCATACATGCACTTTAAAAACTGAAAGAGGCGAAGCTGAGCTTCGCACCAGTGCGATAGAAAGCCACTGAATCCCTCAAAAAAAGTTGACAAAGCGCCAAAAAAACATTACTTGAAAGTTTCAAATGTTTGTCTCAAGTTGAAACGCATTTCGATGAAAACTTGTGGCGGAACAGAACAGCCAGTTTTGAATTAGTATTGAAAAATTCGAATTGCGCAACACATTGCGCTACAAGTTAGTGAATGGAGAAAAACAAGTTAAAAAAATTTGAAAAATTAACTTGATAAAAGTAGGAAAAATTACAACTACGAAAACTTCACGGTCGTATCGGATGAAGTCGATAAACAGCCTTAAAAGCAATTGGAATTCATTTACCGAGCGGCAAAAAAGGCGATAAATTTTGGTTCAAAACCTGTTGAGCCGAAAACTAAATTGTTTCCCACAAAAAATTTCTTGAAGTTTCGATTGTTTGTACGCTCCATCCAGACAAACACATATTCCTAAGCAAATATATTTTGTCTTCGAAATTAAGCAATGTAAGTTGACTTGGCCAAAATTACATCAACTAATTAAAAACTTTTTAAAAAAAGGAAACAAAAAATATTCAAAATTTTTACCAGATAAAAAAGGGTGCTTAGAAAAAACGGAAAATTAACCACGACAGAAACTAGGACGAAAACCACGAATCAGAAAAAAATGAAAAACTTTTTTGAAAAATTAATTACAACC